CCACAACATTGGCTTTAGCCACACCAGAATTGAACCACTTCTTTTCTGAACTCTTATTGTCTTTTTCGATTTGAAGTATAATAATCAGTTTTTCGACATTCATTTCCTTTTCTTATGCTTAAGATAATTCTTGAAATCTTTCTATGCTGGAGACGACTTTTCAATAATTGCAGCCGCTTGGAAAGTTTCGAAGATCATCCCCTCGATATGAATCTCATGACAAATCACTTGTAGTTTTTACACTTGACTGATTATAGTTTTTAAGTCCACAATTTTATAATCGAAGAATCTGCCAACAATGAATTTTTATCCCCAACGTCCCCAATTTTATATTTTCAGCCCAAAGATTCCCACAAGTCTTTAGTAGTTTTCATCGACTTTGCACGTTGTATATCGAATCTGCCAAGCTATTCATGATATAGTTTCGTCATAGAAAATCGAATGGTTCAAGCATTAAGTGCATTGATTGCTTGAACATCCCCCTCACCTTTATTAAGTTTTGAAGCAGTCTCAATCAAGAATCTCTCAAGATTTAATATGGTCAGGTAAAATAACATTTTCTGTTGCATCTCTTGAAATTCAAGCAATTGAATTTCTCTGATTTTTCTCCATGGTAAAGTGGAACAGTAACTGTATGGCCAGTTGTTGGAGCCACAATTTGATTTAAAGCATGACTGGCAATTTAGTCACAGTCTGAGCCACAACAGAGCTTGGCCTTTGAGCCACAGCGAGACCACAACCTGATTTCTAGTAGCTACAATTTGGGTCATATCCATGTTAGTTGAAAAATCAAATAAATATCTACAACAGAGCTTGGGTCATTTTTGAAAAATCAAATAAATATTAGTTTCTGAACAACAATATATGAATCTGTTTGTTTTTACTTTTCATTCAGTTTTAAGTTTTTTGAAACAAATATAATATTACAGAATATAATAATTTTATTTATACTGGAAAGATCAAACTGGTAATAAGTTGCATTAAAATAAATTTACTTATACTAAAAAACAAACTGCAATAACATTCAAATCGATAAAGGAAAAAGAATTAGCAAATCGAGATCTATGTATTACCAAGTGTCCTTATAACAGATTTGCCCTCACACCGTAGGTGTTTGAAGATTCTCACAAGCGTTTATAACCTAAGATACAATGGTAAACCAATAAAACTAAGCACTTCGTTTTTACTCCGACGAACTGAATTTTTGTTAGAAGACTACCACCAAGACTTATATGAAATTGAAAGTTTCGAGCGAACAGTAACATACAAGAAAATGAAAGCAATATGGAATTTCGTGTGTTTGGAATGAGGGAAAACTGATTGTATAAGTAAGCTCTAATGGAGAATTAACAGGTTGGGAGTTACTGGTGTTACGACCTTTAATACTACCATAAAGCCATGCTAAATCTCTCCATTAATAAAAACATTATCATATGAGTTTCAGGAGTTGAGGGAATTTGGAAGGTTTTATTTGGAGAAAATAATAAAAATTTATAGGAAATAAAGATAAAAGGTGGACCATCCAAGTGGACAATTTTTGGTCCGTTCAGTCCGACATTCGTGTACGTAGGTCGCGCCAACATACAAATTCAAGGTCCGAAACTCAATTTCGGTCTCTGATTTACACCCCTTGCGTACGTGTTCACGAAAATATCTTATGAATTAAAATCATTACAAGCGTACGGTTCGTTAATAATTAATAAATTGAATTTTGAGTCCAAGTATCGTCTCGTAGAGATTGATTAGTTCAATTTTAATCATCACGACCTTAACCGAAACAAGAATAATTTTTTTTTTTTTGCTAAATGAAACAAGAATAATTTGATATGCTTGTTTGAGATAAAATTACAACTAAGATAATCTACATATGCAATTATGAGTAATTTAACTAAACTAAATGCAAAATGACGAGTCTAATAAATGACAGACGTACTAGGATCCCTAATTTTCATATAATAATCATTTTTAACCTTTATTCTACATTTTAACAACACGTATGAATTTTAACGAATCAATGTTCCTGTTTGATTTAATAGTCTCTCTCGAGTAATGTTAAATCTATTATCATATATGATCTGACTATATTTCTATAACATATACAAATGTAAAATAATGCACGGATTTTTATGAACACTTTAAAATTCACATGGAGTATAGCGGTAAATTTCTATCCCCTATCGGATCTTATGACAATATATACGTCGAACATATTTTCCTTCTTTCAAATATATAAAATAGGCCACCACATTCACACAACTACCGTGCCCAATAATTATGGAGAAAAGAAAATTACATAAATTATTCAATATCCAAAAACTTGTTTTTCAATGTCAAGTATGTAAAACTAAAGATTAAAAATTCATATTACATGGTTCATCGTTCTCCTAATACAAATAAATTTAGCCTAACATGTTATGATAAAGAAAATAAAAGAAATATTGAAGAATCAATCTTACCCAAATAAAGTTTGAATTGAATTTTCAAGTCTTGGAATCGATCTTCATATTTCTTGCCTCTTTCTTGTTCCCAAAATTTCTTAGAATGTGTTATAATGCATGGTAACTACTTTTGGACGACCATGTGTCTTTAAAAGACGTCCCAAAATTTGTTTCCATAAGAGTTAAAATCATATTAGAAAATTTGAATTTTTTCCCAACTTAACTTGGGGGATGCCCAGTAAGAAATGGGGCGGCCACCCAGGCATAGCAAATGATCCCTGTATTTTAAGTTTAAGGCCGGGCGGCCGTCAGACCAATATAATTGGGCAGCTGCCCAGTTATAAAAACTTCAAGAAATTTCCTTTCAGCCATTTTCTTTATCCCTTCTTCTATCTTGATCCTCCATATCAAATTACTTCAACTTTTACTCAAAATGCATATTAGTCCCCAAACTTTCATCCACTGGCCAATTGATCATTCTTTTTTTTTTCCAATTGCTTAGAAACTGATCCAAAACTGAAATAAGAAAAAATTAACATAAGTAAAATCCAATACTAAAACGATACAAAAACTTAGTAATATGACCCTAATAAGAGCAAAACAATACACTTATTAAATATCCCCAAACTAAAATATTTGTTTGTTCTCAAACAAAACAAAACACAATAAAACTCAGGAAATAAATCATATCACTAACCTAAACAAATCTCCAATAACAACTTCAACGTTAAACAACTTATCATATGCCTCAAGTTCGAATTTAAGCAACACTTTAGAAAGATTCAAACAATATTAAAAATAAATTTTTACTTATCTGATGCTCGACTTAGTGTGTGTGTGATTAGCTAACATTGAATTCGCATCCACACTAGAACACAACCAATTAAGTCTTGTTGATTTAATCATAATCCCAATCCTTGTGTGGTCAATTTTTTCTCATACCTCTCGTGCAAAATCACTTTTTATGCTATGCTCTCCAATCTCGAGGTATTTTTCGTACATATAGGTTCATAATAATCATTCAAATGCATTTTTCTATACAAAGTGATCATAATTAGATACTTGTAAATTTAGAAGAGAGATGGTAAGAATTTCTCAAAGTCACACTGTCAATCTCTAGAGTTCAAATCTCAAAGTCTTTACCGAGCACCTCTCAGTTTTGATAATCTAAATTCCTTTTTCTTTCTTTCGCTATGAATATATATTTTGGTATTTACCCTTTTTTTTATATCTTATGTGCAAGACTTCTCTCCATTAAACTTTTTAAATGACTCATATGGAGAGTTTTAGGCTGATGACTCCCAAGTCAGATAATAATAGTGGACCAGATTTTAAATACTCCAACATGCTTAATAACTTAAGTCATAAATGCTATGAATAGAAGTATAAGATGTATCACATTTTCTTTTGATATAAGATTCAAATTTTAACATTGGTCAGTGCCCGCTCTAGACCCCTCAACCTAAACTCTTTCAACCAAAGATCTGATCCAAGAACTTCAAACCATCAAACTTCTATAAACACAAGCACTAACATTCTCACCTCGAGACTACTTTTTAACAATTTGGTTTCTATATAAAGGATTTGAATATCTTATTCAAACATAGGTCAGCACATCAACAATTAAATCCACATAATCAAGTCATGCTCCAATATAAGTGATAATTCAATGATGGCTATGTGCTTAAGTAAATAGGTCTAACATGAATAAATACTCAAGTGAAAGCATAAGATACAATATTGTCCAGTTCTACCTAAAGCTATACTCAATTCAAACAAATATCATCATAGATGGCAAGTCGTTCAACGTTATACTAGACACTATTTTTTAAAATTAAATTAGTTATACAAACCCGATAAGCAGTTGAAAGTAAGCAACAAAGATCCCAATTCTCCAAATACTTACCCCAAACAAAAATATTACATTGTCTCCAATGTAAAAACAAACATAAACAAAATAAAGGAGTAAAAGATCAGAAACTTCCCGGGGTAGATGTGGATTAGTCAAAAGATCGGGTTGGTATGACTGGTAAACGTCATGACGACCGCCACTTTTCCTTACTGCTAGATTTTAATTTTATGTTCCAAGAATTTAAAATAAATATTAGCGATAGCATATAAGATTTAAATATTTGCAATGAATTCACACCAAGAAGAATTTTCATTTTTTAACTTTTAGAAAAACTATCTAACAGAGCGAATATCCCTACAAAAATCCTATAGCTAGGAAAAGATAAGTTTTCAAATTCGTTTAGAGATTGAAATCTAGGTGCAACCTTAATAATGCATATAATATCAATGTAAGTTCAATATGATGTTAGGATGTTATTAATGAGCCTAAGTAAATTGAACTCAATAAGTAAACATGACTAAGTTACTAATGCAAATCTTGAAATACTACCTAAAATGTGTTCAAAACAAACTATTTAAATGCATAAGTTCCTAAATATGGCTCTAAAATACTAATGCAATCCCTAAAAATCTACTTTTTTTTTTCATAAAGGAGAATTCGCTCTTATTAATAGCACCTCACTTGTGGCGGAGAAATACCATGGTTACAAATCAAATATCTAGTTTATCCATTCGTAAAGCTCCTCTAACTGATGATGGGATTGCAATGGAATCCATCCAGATATGTGAAACACTAGACGCTCCCAGTTTTGACAGGATATTAGCTACTAAATTACCCTCGCAATGTATGTGCTGAACTCTACATGAGATAATAGACAATAGGTATTGTATTTCTTCCCAGTAATCCTCTAAGTACCGAATACCACAAACCTTCCTCTTTAGCCAATTAACGATAATCAATGAGTCGAGCTCCACTTCAAGTCGGTTAAGTCCCATCCTTTTAGCACGTCGGAGTCCATATAATAATACAAGTAGTTCAGCACCATTATTGGTACCCTCACCAAGATACTTAGTAAAGGCTATAACAATATCACCCTTTTCATTTCGAATAATACATCCTGCACCACAAATGCCAGGATTTCCTAGACAACATCCATCAGTATTGAGTTTATACCATCCCTGCATAGGTCGTTGCCATCTCACTACTTTAATTCCTTTTTCCTTAATCGGCTTGACTGGTATGTTAAGTTCCTTCAACACCCAAACATCTCTTCTGCTTAATGTTCTCACTTCTTTTAGTTTTAACCCCACCCAAGAGATCCAAGCTTTTATCTTTCTCCAAGTAGCTTCTATAAATTCCAACTTACCTTCCATCTTGGCTGAACATCGACACATCCATAAATGCCAGCAAATAATACTAGGAATAATACCTACCAGAGTACCTTTATGTGATGGTTATTTTGCTCTTCGAAACCAAATATCTACACGCTCTCTCCATTCTTGAGTTTGCATGCATCGAACACCTAGTAAGGTTGAACATTTATGCCAAATTTGTTGAGCCACATTTCCCAAGGCCAAGACGTGATTTTGATCCTCATATCCCCCCTGCAAGCAACACATACACTTTGATACAATGGGGATACCAGCCTTTCGGACTTTGTCATCTACCGATAGACCTCATTTCATAGCCAACTACATATTTAACAAAATCTTCTTTGGTAGAGTAGGGTGTCAAATCTATTCATGCCAGTGTGATATTTGCCCCTGACATCTTGTAGCTTTCCAAGCACTTTTTACAGAAAATTTTCCATCCAAGCTCTCAGTCCAAATAAGTCTATCTTTGCCCGTCTTGATATTTCCCAGTTTACCAAGAACCTCTCCCATTTGATCACTTCCAACTAGCTCCTCTATTAGATTTTCACTCCACCCATTATCATTTTTTAGATCCTTGATCAAGATATTAGGCTATTCAATCAATAGCCTCCGGTCTCCCAAAGGATCCATATTTGAGCATCTATCCCACCAAAATGATACACCACCATCCTTCACTCACCATCTAGATCAATTAAGAACATCTGGCATGCAACTCATAACCATCTTCCAGAATCTTGACCCCTTAGTAGCATCCACCTGAGATATGTGTTTGTCCTTAATATATTTTGGCCTAAAATATTTTGACCAAAGAGATGTTTCAGTTAAAATTTTCCAGGCAAATTTCATGTGTAAGGATAATCGTACTTCATGTAGATTACGAAGCCCAGCTCCTCCTTCTTTAACAGGCACACAAACTTTATCCCATGCTACCCATTTCCTCTTAGGCTTGCCATCAGCGTAGCCTCAAAAGAAGTCACTAAATATTCTATTGATAACTTTTTAACCGAAGCTAGTGCTTTAATGCAAGAAAATAAATGTAAAGGCATGCTGGTAAGGACATGTCTCAAAAGCAGAAGCCTAGCCCCCTTAAATAATATCCTACTTTGCCAGCCTGCCAATCTCGTACGAATTTTCCCAATCACTTCCTCAAGATCTTGAGCTCTCAACTTTCTATGATTATAGGAACCTCTAAGTATTTGAAGGGGAATTTACCTTCTGTAAATCCAGTGAGTAGTAAGAGCATCCGTCTTCTTGACAAGGTGATCCGTTTAGATAAAATAATGGAGGTTTTATCAACGCTAACAACGTGTCCCGACCATTCTTCATACTGTTGGAAGACCTCCTTTATAGTTTTTAGAGATTTTTTCCACCATTAGCGAAGATAACAATGTCATCAGCATACAACAGATGAGAAATTAAGGGAGCCCCATTGGGTAAAGAGAAAGATCATATGCTGCCATCTTCATATTTAGCTCTCAACATTTTGGATAAAACTTCTTTAACAACCATAAAAAGATATGGAGACAGGGGATCCCCTTGCCTTAAACCCCTTCCACCTTTGAAGAAACCATTCATAGTTCCATTCATCACCACAGAATACCAAGGAGTAGTAACACACTGTCTTACCAGATCATAGGTCTTGGAGGAAAAACCAAAAGACTTCAAATAGTGCAAAAGAAAGTCCTAATCAATACTATCATATGCTTTAGCGATATCCACTTTCAAGACTACATTTCTACCCCTTGTCGGCTTATGAAGGTTTTGAATCATCTCTTAAGATAGAGTGATATTATCAAAGATACTTCTCCCCGGAATAAAAGCACCTTGCTCCATAGAAATAATTCTTGGTAATATTAAAGCTATTCTTCTTACCAGAATTTTCGACCAGACCTTATATATTACTGAACATAAACTTATTGGCCTGAACTTGTCAAAACTTGAAGGGGAGTCTGTCTTAGGAATAAGGACCACATAGGAGGAGGAGTAGAATCTCAGGATATCCGTACCTCGAAAAAAATAGCACATTGCCTCCAGACATCCTCACCCACTATATCCCAATAAGATTTATAGAATCTCGAGCCAAATCGATTAGGACCAGGGGTACTATCCGTTGGGATAGAAAAAACTGCATCTTTGACCTCCTGGGGAGTAGGTAACCTCCCAATTTCCTCGTTCTCTACCTCTGAAATAGTGTGTTGAATCTAGGCTGATAGGTCTGGTTGGTCTCTCCTAGGTCTAGCTCCTAAGAAATTTTGAAAATAATCAACCACTGCGTGATGGATTGCCTCATGATTATCAAGCACAGTACCATCCCTTAGTCTCATCTCCTTGACCTGTAAGAGGTCTTGCCATTAAACTACTTAAAAAACTGATGAACAACTTCACCTTTCTCAATCCATCTCTACTTTGCTATTTGTGCTAGGCGCATTCCTTCCCTCTTTTCCCAAGTGTCAAGTTCTACTTTTGTAGCTAAGTAGGTATATTCGACCTCCTCCGAGTGAGCCACTTGTAGGATAGTATACAACTCTTCTAACTCTTTTTCGAGCCCCTGAATGTGTTCCTGCATCTACCCAAACACCTCTTTGTTCCATATATGTAGTGCAGTCCTCAACCTTTTTAGTTTTCTAGCTAGGTGCCATAAACCACTTTTATCTGAGTTCCCTTCCCATATATTTAACACAAAATCCTTAAAACTCGTATGTGTGGTCCACATTTGTGGAATTTAAATGGTGTACGGCCATAACGAGCCATATGAGTCTGTAGCCAAACCAGCATTGGTGTATGGTCCAACGTGGTACAAGCTAAATACATCATATGAAGATTTGGAAATTTCTCCAAGCAATTAGAATCAATCAATAATCTATCCAATTTTGCCCAACTCCAACTCTAGCTTGCTTGACCATTACACCAGGAATAAGGTTCCCCACCATCTGGCTATTTCCATCAACTGACAAATGTCAATAAACTGATTAAAGTCCTCCATAGCACCCATTGGTAAAGGACGACCTCCACGCCTCTCTAAATTATTTCTTATACTATTAAAATCTCCAACCACTACCTAGGGAATTTGTGAATGATTCACCCCTTCTAATTCTGACTAGAGCAATCTTCTTTCTATAGCAGTGCATTTCGCATAAATAAAAGAAACCCGCATCCGGTAAGTACGTTATATCACCATACAAGTGATTTGTTGGTTACTTTTACTCATCAAATTAACATGTACTTCATGATCCCACATGATCCAAAGTTTTCCTTCTACGTTACAGTTTGATAAGCCAAAATTAAAGTTTAGTTTCCTCTGTAAAACGCCCATTCCATTCGCCGTTTTCCAAGGCTCCGCTATCGCTACTATTTCGATTTATGCCTTCTCACCAACTTCCGTAACCTGCATGTCGAGGTCCCTATACCTCGCACGTTCCAAAAGAGATAGTTGCAACTCATAGATTAAGTCTAGATGTTTGCTTGGAACCCTGGAAGAGCTTCTAACCTTCTGTACTGTTTTCCTTTGGTGTCCTTTGGCCCTCTGTTCAAAATTTGAAACACAATCACGAATATTTCCCAATTCCTCCACCATTCCTTCCACCTCTTTATCAGTCAATTTCATAACCTCATCTGCACTGCTATGATCCCTAGAGTCCTCTTGTAGTTCCTCAGCATTTTCTTTGACCCCTTGATCTTCTTCCATCCTTACCATAATATGCGTGGCCATTACATTTGTTTGTTCGTTATCCTCGATCATGCCCATAGTATTTCCATTTAAGATCGTCTCTCTGTCCTCTATTTCTCCTTTTTCCCTTGCTTGCTCCCCATCCACAAAATAAACCCCACCTAAAGGTTCCACGTGAGTGCCTCCTCTAAGCTCAGCAATTTTGATCCCACTAGTCTTCGAAGCTACAGTTCCATCCTTATCCATATTTCTATCCCTCCCCAATTCAGTCTCCATTTTCTCCTTATCATTATCCACAATCAGCTTTATTCCTCTACTACTTTTACCAACCTTTTCTATTTTATCACTTCTTTGCTCATGGATTGTACCAGTAAAGACACTAGCATCCAACTTTGTTAAAACTCCACCCACATGCACATATCGTTTTTCTATTTTCTTACCACTACCCACGTCTCCATATTTTTTCCTCCACTCTTGTTTTTCCGGGCCAATAGGTTCGATTTTCTTCATTTTCTGCTTCTCATGAAATTGTTGACCCACTCTACAAACAGCTTCTGTGTGACCCTACCTCCTGCATTTCTTACAATAAAAGCCAAATTTTTCATACTTAACACGCTGCCAAAGGGTACAACCCCCAAGTTTTGGCTATGGCCACCCGAACCAGATCAATGTTCGGTCTAAAGGATAGGAATTTAAGAACTAAGGAAAATCTGAAATCTTTTGCCAAACACTTAACCTCTACATCCGTGAAGATAAAGCCCCAGTTCTCCTTCAATCAACTCTGGTCTCCTCAGCTGTAGCGGCGGACTCGCCATAATCTCCCCATCCACAGAGTGTCTTACGACCTCCAAGAAAGATCGTCCTTGTTTAAACACGATTGCTAGTGCTACAGGTCCCGTCGACGTCTCTCCCATCGTACTCGTCGTTACCGAAAGGCCCGTCCGTGGGGACGTCGTCACTCCGACAGCAGCAAGAAAAAAACCCTGACTCAATTGCCTAAATCACCCAAATCGCCCAAAATTGCCTCCGCGATTTTATATATTCTTAGATTTCTAGCGTATACTTGTATTTGTTATCGTTGTAATACATCCCTAAAAATCTACTTGTAAAGCAATACTTAATCAAAAAAAGAGGTAAGTGATAGGAAAATGGGTTGCCTCCCATTAAGCGCTCAATATAAAGTATAGAGCTCGACTTTTTCACTAGTGTTTCATGGCACTTTGAATATGACTTTGGAGGTCCTGCTTAACTTACTTAATTTGATTTTGTTCCATATTGCAACTTTCTTCCAAATTTTAATCTTGTCATTCTCCAAGTAGTATGACTTCCCTTTATCATCCGTTTCAAACTGAACAACGTACACCTCAATCTCCTCATAAAGTTTAATCACAAACTCCATTTTTCAGTAAACAACGAAGTTGAGGATTTCCTCTTCTTCTTTTAGCCAGTTATGATTAATTTCTCGATCTTTTCATGCTCCCTTCTTTAGTTGAAGTTTTCGCGAGTTCAGCGTTCGTGTTCTAAACTTTTGACAAAGATACAATGACATTTTCATGGAGATTCTTCTCCTCTTGTTGTATATGTAAAATGTCTGATTGACGTGATTTTCTTAATTGATGTCCATTAATAACAGGTGGAAGAAATAATCCCATGGGCAAATCATTGTGTCAGGACGGACGGGCCGGCCAGACCAGTGAAAATCGGCTCGAATCGACCCTGGACCGCGAGCCGACCCGTGACCCGAGCGGACGGTTCATGAGTCAAGGAGGTATGACATGTGGGCTTCACGGGTTGGACCTTCACGAGCCGCGGTTAACCCGCTGGCCCGTGAAAAAAAATTAAAAAAATTTGAAAAAAAAGAGGGAACTGCTCTCTCCCTAGCTAGCCTGCCGCAAGCTAGCAGGCAGGCTACACCTGCATGTTATGAATTTTTTTCTAAGGGTAATATTTATCATCTATAAATTTCAATTAATTGGTAATATTTATATCACTTGTAGCATTCCAAAAAATTATACTTGTTACTGTCTTGCAAAAAATTAATCTTGTTACAGCAATTACAATTATTTAATTGCAAATATCATCATCATCTCTATTATATTTCTTTCTTCTCACTACTAAACTGTTTAATGCTACTAATTATGGATTCTTGCAATTTTCTTTTGAAAATCTTATTTTCAATGATAGT